CGATGGCGATGGCGATGACGATGGCGCATATATTGATGAGTCTGACGTCGAACACGACGATCATAATGATGATGCATCCCAGAGGATTCCAGGATAGGATTCCTCAGGATCCTCTCGGGATTCCTGAGGGTCCTTAGGATTCTTTGAGAGCCTTTAGGATTCCGAAGGATTCCAGAGGGTGTCCCTAGGGATTCTTTTGGATAGGGTTCCTGAGGCTTTCCATAATGAGTTCTTTGGGATTCCCTCGGGGGTACGAAGGATTCCCTGGGGGCTACAGTCATCCAGAGACAGACAGGGGTTGCGACGATGACGGCTGCAGCATCAACAGTTGCCACACCAGCAGCAACCAGTCCTGCGGCAGCTGGGATAGCCAGAACTGGCAACTTAAGGGCGACTACCGGAATCTGCTGCCGAAGCGCTACACCGCTGCAGCGCTGCAGCCGAATCAAGTCACAGACGGGTGGGGGGACTTATCTTCTGGGCTCGTTGACCCCAGGGCCCCTCGAGGGCACCCAGACCGCAGTAAGCGCCCCCCCCCCTTTCTGGAGCCTCTCCGAAGCCTCCTCCAGGCCCCAACCAGGAGGCTCCAGGACGGCCCGAGTGCCCACCTACACGTCCCACGGGGCCGTCTTTGGTCCATAGCATTTTGACTCAATCATTTGTAAACTCTCCTTCAGCCACTGCTCCTTCAGCCGGGGCCTCTGCGTCAGTGATCGCACCTTCGAACTTGTTTCTTTTGCGCAATGGTCTGCTCCGTCGCAATGGTCTGCGGGTCGGGCTGCTCCGTCACAGTGGTCCGCTCTCTACTGGTCACCGTCTCTCTGTTGTCGTCTTCAATCGGAGGAGGTGCCGCTCTGCATGTGGTGTCCATGACCCAAGGAGTGTCAGGCAGCAGCGGATATATCACCTCGACAAGCTTGGGGCACTGACAAGCTCGAGGAGAAGTTCGCCAACGTCAAGAAGCGCGGCGTGGAGACAGCCTCATGGTCACAAGACACGTCTTGGGTCGTTGGCTGGGTAGCAGCGTACAAGACTCAAGTCGGGGCACTGAGTATGGATGGTAATACGAACTCGTTTTGGAATGCAGGGGGAGGCGGCCTTGGTAGATATTACAACGCATGGTGGATCGAGTTTAATATCCAGCTGCCTGCGGCAAGTCCCACCGCCGTGCCATCCCAGCTTTCTCGGTCTCTGCGCGAGGGGGCACGGAGGTCCTAACGTCTGACATCGTTTATCTTCGGTCTTCGAAGAGCCGTCACGCGTGGCCCGCTTTTCGTAGGGCCGTCTTGAGGGGTTCCGAGAGCAAGAGGGTACTTATCGCCGTCACGTTTGACTCGTTGGCTGTCTTCGGGGTTTTGGTGCGTCTACGAAGTCTGTGAGACCGTCATGGGCGGCGGTGCTGATGATGATGCTGCTGCTAATGATGATGCTGATGATGACTACGATGATGATGAGGAGGATGATGCTGATGCTGATGCTGATGATGATGATGATGACGATGATGATGAAGTTGATGATGATGCTGCTGATGATGATGAGGGTAACTATCACAATGAAGATGATGATGGTAATGATGATGATGCTGATGATGCTGCTGTTGATGTTGGCGATGCTGATGACGATCATGCTGACGGTAGTGGTGGTGGTGATGATGCTGCTGATGATTTTAATGATGATGATGCTGATGCTGATGATGATGACCACCATGATGATGCTGATTATGCTGATGACGATGATGCTGATGATGATGGTGATGTTGATGGTGATGATTGTCATGATGATGCTGATGATGGTGTTGGTGATCGTGATTGTATCGGTGATTGTCATGCGGATGACGATGACAATGACGATGACGACGATGAGGATTATGATGATGATGTTTAGGTTGGTGATGATGATGGTGATGATGATGATGCTGAGTGTGCTGATGATGCTGCTGCTGATGATGGCTACGATGATGATGATGAGGATGATGCTGATGCTGATGCTGATGATGAGGGCGATGATGGCGACGATAATGATGCTGATGATGATGACGCTGCTGATGATGAGGGTGACTATCACAATTAGGATGATGATGGTAATAATGATGCTGCTGCTGATGGTGCTGCTGCTGCTGCTCATGTTGGCTCTGCTGATGATGGTAATGCTGACGGTGGTGGTGGAGGTGGCGGAGGTGGTGATGTGGCTGATGATATTGATGATGATGCTGATCCTGATGATGTCTACCATGATGATGCTGATGATGATGGTGATGCTGGTGACGATGATGCTGATGATGATGATGGTGATGTTGATGGTGATGATTGTGATGAAGATGATGATGATGATGATGATGATGGTGATGATGATGATGATGGTGATGGTGATGATGATGATGATGATGATGATGATGATGATGATGGTGATGGTGATGATGTTGTTGATGGTGGTTGTGCCGTTGATTGTCATGCTGATGACGATGTCAAGGACGATGACGATGCTGAGGGTTATGATGATGATGCTTAGGTTGGCGATGATGATGGCGGTGGCGGTGATGATTATGGGGATGATGCTGAATATACTACTGATGATGGTGATGATGATTATGATGATGATGATGTTCATGCTGATGCTGATGCTGATATGATGATGCTGCTGAGGATGATATGGATGATGATGACGATCATGATGACGATCATGATGACGATGATAATGCTGACGTTTGTGATGATGGTGATACAGCGGATGATGCTGGTGATGGTGAGGTGGGAATGGTGATGGGAATGGTGATGGGATGGTGATGCTGATGATTGTGCTGACGATGATGCGGATGAGGATGCGGCTGATGCTGCTGATGGTGTTGGTGGTGGTGGCTGTGGTGTGGTGGTGGTTGTGGTGATGATGACGATGCTGATGATGATGATGCTGATGGTGATACTGCTGATGATGCTTTTGATGATGATGTTGATGATGATGATGATGTTGTTATTGATGATGATGCCTATGATGATGCCTATGCTGATGATACTGCTGCTGGTGTTGATAATGTTTATGACCATGCTAGTGAGGATGCTGGAGATGCTGCTGATGCTGATGCTGATGCTGGTGATGATGATTATGATGATGATGACGATGCTGCTGTTGGTGATGAGGCTGCTGATCATGGTGCTGCTGCTGATGATGATGAGTATTCTGATGATGATGCTGATGATGTTGATGATGATGATGAGGATGAGGATGATGATGATGATGATGATGGTGATGATGTTGAGGATGGCGATGATGATGATGATGATGATGATGATGATGCTGATGATGATGATGATGATGATGATGATGATGATGATGATGATGATGATGATGATGTTGCTGATGATGATTATGGCGTCGTCGACGAATACGTCGACGACGATTTCGATGGAGGATGGTGATGAGGAGGAGGAGGAGGACGAGGAGGAGGATGAGGAGGATGATGACGAGGAGGAGGAGCATTAGGAGGAGGAGGAGGAGGAGGAGGAGGAGGAGGAGGAGGAGGAGGAGGAGGAGGAGGAGGAGGAGGGGGGGGAGGGGGAGGAAGAGGACCGCCGTCGCATGTGACACCTTCCGTCTTCAGTTCAGGAGCCCTCATGGACGCCGTTTGGGTATTTTTGGTGCCTCTTTTGGGCCTTCAGGGGGCCTCTTTTTGGGGCCTCCTGGAGAGCCTCTTTAGGGTCTCTTGGTGCCTCGTGGTGGCCTCTTTGGGTGGAAGGCTCGACTTATCGGTTCGTGTTCCCCTCGTGGGCCCTTCTGGGGCTGTGTTGAAGCCCTCTTGGGCCGTCTGCAGCGCCCTTTGGGCTGTCTTAGAGCCATCTCAGGCCGTCTTGGGTGCTCTTGGGGGCCTCTTGAGCCGTCTGGTGGCAGTCTTGTGGACTTCTCGGGCCGTCTTGGAGCGTCGGAAGCTCGAAACGGCGAGGACCCCAAACACAATGAAGCACATACGTAGGGACAACCAATGATGCTTGCCTCTCGGGGCTCTCTTGGAGCCCTCTTGGAGGCCCCTTCTGAGCCTCCTGGGGCCTCCTGCGGCTTCTTGCGGCGGACGTCTCGAATTGTCGGATCGTGTTCCCCGTCTTGGGTTCTTCTTGGGCAATCTTGGAGCCCTCTTGGGCAGTCTTGGGCGCCTCTTGGTCCGTCTTGGAGCCCTTTTGGGCCGTCTTGGGACCCTTTTGGCGCCCTCTGCGGCAGTGTTGGGGCAGTCGTGGGGCAGTCTTGGGGGCCTCTTCGGTCGTCGTGGGACGTCGGAAGCTCGAAAATGCGAGAGCCCCGAACACATTGACAACCCAGAGGGACATTCATGATATGTACCTCTCGATGCCCTCTTGGGACGTCTCGAAGGCCTCGTGGGCCGTCGTGAGGCCGTCTTAGTCTTGAGGCCAACGTGGGTCGTCTTGGAGCCACGCTAGGCCGTCTTGAAGGCATCCTGGCTTCGGGAGCGCGAATTTGTTGCATCTTGCTGAGGGTTGTGGCCTCGGGAGGGAGGCGGGTCATGCAGCTCAGTGCGACGAGTGGGGGGGGGGGGGGGGCGGCCAGAAGATCACATATCCCCAACCAGGCAGCACTTGGCATTCTAGCACGCCTGGACGTGCCAGGGGTCACGGTGGCGGATTGGCTCGGAGTACGCGGTGCAAGGCATTCGAATTCAAAATGTGGGCGATACGACACATGATGGAAAACAGGCTGTGCTTTACGCGTCGACGACGCAAGGCGGAGCATTCAACACGCTTGTTGCTTCGCTGGGGTCAGTGGCCACTGGAACTAGTAGCGCGCAGGATTTTGCCATCGCTTATGGCTCGCCAGTGCAACATCTTCGATAGGTGATCACACAAACAGGCACAGGTTACCAACCATATATTCGGGAACTCGCGTTTCAACTTGAGGCCAGTCAAACGCCCAGCCCGACGCCCAGCCCGACGCAAGGTCCGACGCCCAGCCCGACGCCCAGCCCGACGCAAAGTCCGACGCCCAGCCCGACGCCAAGCGCGACGCCCAGCCCGACGCAAAGTCCGACGCCCAGCCCGACGCCCAGTCCAGAAAATAGCGCTGCTGCCATTGGGGATCCACACCTGCAGAATATTTTTGGGGAGCGGTTCGATTTAATGAAGGCGGGCAGCCATATTCTAATCAACATTCCTCGTGGAATCAGTGCCGAAAACGCATTGCTTCGAGTCCAGGCCGAGGCGCGTCGATTCGGTGGAAGTTGCGCGGATATGTATTTCCAAGCTTTGAATGTGACAGGTTTATGGGCAGAGGCCAAGAAAGCAGGAGGGTACCACTTCGACTCGCACAGTGGTGTCAATGAGAATTCGGGATGGATCACTCTTGGCTCCGTCGAGGTCAAAGTTGCCCATGGGCGAACGCAAGGCGGTGCGGCTTCCCCGTGGGGGGCTTGCTGGGAGAGGACGACCATCAGGACGCAACCGCGCAGCCAGCTGAATGTGAGGAGTTATTGGCCTTGAGCGCAGCTTTTCAGAACACCAGCACTTCTGCGCGTTCTGTTGCCACCGCGAACTTGGCATGAGGTTTCTCCAGCTTCGCTGAGCCACGCGAGTGTCTTTATACACGGCATGGGCGCCAGTTGTTCATTTGTGCCCTCATCGGCATTCTTCTGGCTCACCCTTCTCTTCATCCCGGTCCTCGCTCGCTCCTCCTCCTCGGCTTCCTCCCACGGCTTTCTCCGTCCTCGACGGCTTCCTCTCGTTTTCCTTGCGCTTTTGGGGCACGGCGCGCGGAGCAGAAAGACCGCGCGCTGCCGAACAGAGCATGGCCACTCACTTTCCGCATATGTTACGCTATTACGCCGGTCCTGGTGGCATCTTGCTCTCCCCTCCTGCTTCAGAGAACAAAGAAGAGGGGTCGTCGTCGTGGCCGTCTGTGGTCGGGCGGGGCTGGGACAGGTCTCGGAGGCCTCTTGGAGCCGTCTTGGACCGTTCTTGGGGCCTCTTGAGCATCTTGGCAGCCATCTTGAGCCATCTGGCGGTATCTTGAACCATCTTGGAGGCCATCTTGGCCTCTCCGAGGCCCTCTTGGAGACGTCCTGGGCCATCTTGGGCGCTCCGACGCGTCGCGAAACGCTCCGTCCAGGTCCAGGGGGAGGGGGTGGGGGGAGGGGTAAACCCCTCACCGAAGGGGAATATGGGGGTTGGAAGAGGAAGCGCCCCAGGCTACCTACGCCCAGAGCGCTGGTGGGATATCTATTTTGGACAGTGTCTAAACATTTTTGCGCATCGGCTGTGTCGCAAGTTTTTCGTGTCGTGTCAATCTAGTCGTTGCTTAGCATCTATTTGTGAACAGCCATAGCTGTGTTCCAAGCACGCAGTGGCGTACAGAGTAGAGCTGAGAAAACCAGCTCCAAGCAGTCCACTATGTGTCCATGTGTGCGCGTGTATGGGTGCGCGCGGGCGTGTATGGATGACGCGCGCGCGAGTGTGTGTGTGTGTGTGTGTGTGTGTTTGGGGGGCCTTGGGGGTCCCCAAGAGGGCGCCAGGGGTGAGTAGGCACAAAGCCTCGAGTTGTATACACTGCTGAGGCCCTCCCTCTCGGACCCCTTCTTTGGCTCTCTTGGGGTCCTCTGGGGGCCCTTCGGGGCCCTCCAGGAGGGGGCCTCTGGGAGGCCCCCAAGAGGACTCTAAAGGGTTTCAGGCGTAGTCAACTCGAAGTCACGCGAGAGGGTTTTCGCGCGAGTTCGTTTTGACTCCTCTTGAGGCCCGCGCGGGGCCGTCTCGGGGCCTTGCTCCGGAGGAGGAGGGAATAGTGAGGAGGAGGAGGAGGAGGCGGAGGTGGGGGAGGAGGAGGAAGAAGAAAAAGAAACGGAGGAGGAGAAGGAGGGAGTAGGAGGCCGAGTAGGGGGAGGAGGAGGACATGGAATCATTATCTTTGGAGGGGAGGAGGACGAGGAGGAGGAGGGCGACGACTACGAACAAGAATAATAATAATAATAAGAAGAATAATACTAAGAAGAATAATAAGAAGAAGAAGAATAATAAGAAGAAGAATAAGAATAATAATAATACTAATACTAATAATAATAATACTTATAATAATATTAATAAGAAGAATACTAAGAATAATACTAATAATAAGAAGAAGAATAATACTAAAAAGAATAAGCATAATAATACTCATAATAATAAGATCGCCCAGGGCCAACTGGCACATCTCAGGATTGAGATGAGCCAGTTGACCCCTGGCTGTTCCTCCTGCTCCTCCCCCTCCTCCTCCAACTCCCCTCCTCCCTCGCCCTCGTCCTCCCCTCCTCCTCCTCCTCCTCCTCCTCCTCCTCCTCCTCCTTCTCCTCACTCTTCGCTCCTCCTCCACCTCCAGAGCCGCCCCGCAGGGCCCGGCGAGGCTCCAAAGATGGCCCAGGAGTCAAAACGAAGTCGCGCGAGCGTTCCTTCTTGGGGCCCTCTCGTGTATGGAACGAGTTCGGCCCCTGGTTCCATCGCGCGCATTCGCTGGCCCCAGGCGCGCGCGGCGGACGCAGGCGCGAGCAGTCGCCGCGCCGCCGCTTGGCTCGCGCGCGGCGCGGCGCGCCGCAGGCGATGTGGGCAGGCCCGCGCGCCCCCGCGCGCGGCCGCTGCCCGCCGCGGCCGCGCGCAGGTACCACAGGTTTGTGCGTGCCTGGGGCGCGCGCCCCGCGCTCGGGATTTGAGCGCGGGGCGCGCGCGACCGCGCGCGTTGGCCGTCGCCCCGCGCGCCGCCGCCTGCTCGTCGCTGCCGCTTGCCGCCGCTTGCCTGCTCGCTGCGTGCTGCGTTGCCCTGCGGAGCTGCTTGCCGCCGCCTGCCTGCTCGTTGCGTGCCGCTTCGCCTTGCGCCGCCGCCTGCCCCTGCTTGCTGCTTCCGCGCGCGCGCGCCGGTCTTCGCCGCGCTGCCTTCCTGCCCCTCGTGCAGGTTCCCTCCCCCTTCCTCCCGCGCGCGGTGCCTCCGCCGTTGTCAGGTTCCTTCCTCCCTCTCCTCTCCCCCCGCAGGTGCCGATTCCCTCGTCGTTTTGCTGGACTCGAAAAGATGCCAGGACGACTTCCCGTTACTCTGCTAGTGATTACGGGACCTAATTTAGGTCCAGTCTGCGTTTCGGCCTAACGAGGTCGTTGCAGGCGCGATTCGACGCCAACGCCGCATCCGAGCGTGGGCCGCGTGCGAACGACCGAACGTGGTCAAATTAAGACGCAATTCGACGTCTACGCCGCATCCGAACGAGGATAGCGAGCGAGCGACCGAACTAGGTCCGATTAGACGCAATTCGACGTCTACGCCGCATCCGAACGAGGATAGCGAGCGACCGACCGAACGAGGTCATATTAAGACTCAACTCGACGTGTACGCCGCACGTGTGGCGCGCGAGCGCACTTCCGAGCGGGGGCTGTTCCGACGCGATTCGACGTCTACGCCCCCTCCGTGCACGCTTAGCGTGCGTCATTTAGGTGGCCAAACGGGGCCCGCGTGTACGTGGTCGGCTTCGGTGCGCGAGCTGCAGCCGAGCGCGGACAGAGTGCGCACGAGCGCGTCATACGCGTTAACAGGCGGCGCCCGCTCGCACCCATGGCGGACTTGCGAGCTTTTCTGTCTGGCGTCGACGCGCGCGCAAAGCGCGACGAGGAATGCCTCGGCGACGTCATTGCAGCGCTTCGCGCAATATCTGTCACGGCGAGCGCCGCGCGCTTTCTCGGTCCGTCTGTCGCGCACAGCGCGTGCCAGGTTGAACAAGACCTAGTCGGGCTCAACATTCATGAGAGTTCGTTCGACAAGGGCGGCCTCAACGGTGGGAAGGTAGCCTTCCTCGACCGTGCCGTCAAGCGTGCCGCAGAGAACGCCGCCAGGGCCGAGGCGGGGCGCACGGCCGCCGCCCGCGGCGACGACGGGGCGGCGCGAGGGTCGAATGACCCTGTCGCTGCGCTAGTGGACGCACTCGCGCGCAAGCCGACTGCGGCCGCGCACGTCGACATCGGCGCGAAGCTAGGCGACATCCGCCTCGGCGATTTGCCGTCTGCTTGCTGGCCGTCGCCGGCGTCGTGCGACTGGCTCGACAGCCAGGCGCCCGCGCGCGCGCGGTGTATCGCTCAGCGTTCGCACGCGGCGCTTCGGAGCGGCGCAGGTCAAAGCGGCCCAAGCGAAAGGGATCGCGAGACCGTTCATTTACAGCGATTTGAAGAAGTGGTTGCCGCGCTGGGCGGTGGAGAAGCGCGGCGGTCAGGGCGGCGCGGACGCGAACTAAGAAGGCGCGCTCTTTCGGCGCGCGCATTCTGGGCGGAGCCGCCGCCTCGCGAGGGCTGTCGCTCATGCCCTGGTCGGTCGCATTCGACTGGTGGGCCCTGGCCGCGAGCTTCGCGGGCCAGATTGAACTGGCCGCCGCGATGGCGCACAAGGACGTCGTCATGCAGATCGCAGTGCATGCGAACTCCCTTCCCTGGTCTCGCGGCCGAGGCCGGCCGCCGCCCGCGCGCGTTGCGGGCAGGCGCGCGGGGTGCACAAGTCCACAGCCCTGGCGGGCATCTATGACGAGCTGGCCAGGCGGGAGTGGGCCGATCGCGCCAGTGGCTCCAGCTCCTTCAACGTCAACCGCGACGCGCTGCAGCAAGAGCAGAGCCTGTACATGCGCGCCGAGCGCGAGTACACGGCTCGCGGGCATCCCAACCTCTCCGATCGGCAGCAGAAGGGCAGCAGCAAGGGCGCCCCCCATGCGGAGTCCAAGGGGAAAGGCAAGGGCAAGTCCCAGCATGCCGAGAGCGACAAGGGCTGGGGCAAGTCCTGGGAGCCCAAGAGCTGGGGCAAGTCCTGGGAATCGCGGGCCCACGCGAAGGGCAAAGGCAAGCACGACGCAGCGCGGGGCACAGAGCAGCCGCGCACGCCGAAGCGCAAGCGCGAGGATTGAGGCGCGAGCACCGTCGCGCGGCCGGCAGCGCGCGCTCGCGCGCGGAAAGCGCGCCCAGGCTTGGCGGAGCGCGAGAGCGCGGGCATGCCCGCGCCGAATTTGCCAGATGGCAGG